GGTGCCAGCGGAGCAGCCGCAGATGTACAGCTACTGAGCCGCTGCTGGCCCCGGCCCGGCCCGATGGCTGGTTCCGACTCCTGCGTCTGGTCCCCGTTCCCATCCCAGTCCCGGCAGGGAAGGTTGGAGGTCAGCCAGCACCGCGGGATGCGTTAGCTCCCAGCCCGGTGCAGTCTGGAGCATGGAACTGCGTCCCTGACCCGACTTCCAGGGCCCCAGCGCAGCCTGGTGGGATGCAGGAAGGAAGCCGAAGCCGTCCCGATTCGCGCTGCCGCGAGGAGCGGGCGCTCGCTGTGTCCTTCGGCGCCGTTGCTGTTCAGAGCCCTGCCGGTTGTCGCATAGCAGACAGGAGCTAAAGGAACTTCCTCCCCTCCAGAAAGCAGCCAGTCCGGGTCGTGGAACTCCTGTGGCCGAGGCAGAAGGGGTGTCTCGGGTGTTCCCGGCCGATCACAGCAGCTCCCCCGTCGCCCCCGCCTTTCCAGCCCCCGTGGCCAGCGTGGGCTCAGCGTTTGACACCACCACGTCCGTTGCAGGGTAGCCCAGTGCGGCTGCCGGTGGGGCTGCGGAAGGACCGCCACGCGTGTGTGCCGTGAGGCCCTGGCCAGCCGCGCAGACGCTGAGGCGGGAGGCAGTGCGGTCGGATTGTCCTGGTCACTCTAACGCTAACCAGCCTGAGGGGATGCCCTCGCTGCTCAGTCCCAGTCACCTCTGTCCCCAGGACCCCATTCCCTGGGGCCATGCAGAGGAGGCAGTGAGGGAGCAGCAGGGCTGGTTGTTCTGAGGAACTCCTGTGATCCAGCACTTGGAGGCTGAGGCAGGACGGTCAACCCTGGTTCAGGGCCAGCCTGGGGCCACAGAGTGAGATCCATTGCGCAGCGAGCGAGGTTGGCTGCCAGTGCCCCAAGAAGGGGTTGGCGTGCCACGAAAGGTGCCCGCCTCAGGCTCCTCCCAGCAGTGAGCTGTTGATGGGCGGAGCCGGCACCCGTAGGGCCCTCTGTGTCCACCCTGCGGGCCTCACAGTGGGCGGCCCTTCCGCTTTTTAATTTATAATTATTTTTATGTTATTTATGTATAGAATTAGCTGCTTTCTTATAGTTTCACAACCAACTCGGGCTAGGGCTGATTTCTTTTCTAAAATCGTCTCCACTCTCCGGACTCAGAAGCCAGGCGGGCATCCATAGAGCTGGCAGGTGATCTGGGGAGCTGAGATAATTTTTAGACTCCATGACGGTTTCCCTTTGCATCTGCAAAAGCTCCAGGCAGAGAAGAAGCCGCACCGGCCTAGGCTCCAGCTGAACCTGCAGAATTCACCTTTTATTCCTCGTCCCTCAAGACAGCCCTCCTAGGGCTCGGTTTTATTTTTTTAAAGAAGTCGTTTCTGTGCCCGGACCAAGGCCATGTCTGGTGTTTTCAAAGAACCTAATTTAGGTTGTGTGGCCCCACGCGCTGCCTCCATCTGCTCACGGCAGGAAAGCCGGGTTCTCCAGGGCTCCTGTGCACACACGTCTTACAGCAGGTGCTATGGTTTGCAGATGAGACACCGGACAGCAAAGAACTCGAACTCAGTACCACTCGGCCCACAGCTCGCTGGTGGATGGTGTGTCGCTCTCCTGACGGAGGAGGCGCCCGGACAGAGGGAGCCGGGCCACTCCCCTACCCACACCCAGGTCCAGGGCCCGATCCAAGCTGGATGGGTGGGTTCCAGGAGGGGAGTCAGGTCCACCGTGTACCGGCGTTATGACTGGTAAACCTCCAGGTTCTTGTCTAGCCTGGGACCGCGGGACGTGCAGTGTGCAGGCAGCCTGGGGACAGCTGTGGCTCCGGCGGGTGACGTGTTGTCTCAGGGAAATGCTGTGTGCCAAGCGCCCTCCCTGTGACCGATGAGAAGCCGCTCTGGACCTCCAGGGCAGGCAGGTCCTGGGCACCTTAGGTGTCTCCAGTCCCTGTCCAGAGGCTTCTGGCAGCAGGCAGCACCCGACTTCCTGTGGGATCTCGAAGGGCGTTTGGGTGTTTCCTGTCACATCGGTCTGTGTAACGGTAAACAAACGGTGCTGCGACCTTCCACTGCTGGTCTGTGCTCACCCCGCGCCCGTGGGAAGTTGATGTGCTTGTTGCACTAGTCATGATCGATGAGTTCAGTGAAGGTTTAGTTTTTAAAATCTCATTACAGTAAAATACGAGGTGCCACAAATCCCCTCAGAATCCTCCCCTCACTGCCAACACCCTCCTCCCACATCCCAGCCTCTTCCTGCAGCAGCTCTGGAGCCCCTTTCCTCAGTGTCTTTAGTTCCTCGGTCCTGGCTGCCTCAGTGTCCTGGGTGGATTCAAAACATTTCCCTGTTGTGGCCATTTTGACTTTGGGAAGAGCCAGGAGTCACAGGAGTCACAGGGTGCCAGATCCAGTGACTGAGGTGGCTGAGGACATAACGACTTCTTTTCTTCTTTTCCTTTCTTCTCTCTCTTTCCTTCTTTCTTTCTTTCTTTCTTTTCTTTCTTTTTTATTTTTTTGGTACTAGGGATTGAACTCAGGACCTTACACTTGTGAGCAGGCGGCGGTGCTACTGAGCTACATCCCAGCCCTGCACCATGTTTTTATTAGACAGAAATTGCCACAGACATTTGATTAACAAGGGGTAGGAAAAAAAAAAGGGTGATCAAAAATACAGTAAGTGTTTAAATTAAAAATTGTATTACGGTAGCAAGGCATGGTGGCTCACGCCTGTAATCCCAGCACTCGGGAGGCTGAGGCGGGAGGATCGCTGTGAGTTCAAAGCCAGCCTGGGCTATACAGTGAGACCTTGTCTCAAAAACAAAAAAACAGCTATTACAGTAAGACACATTCCCGTGAATCCCCGCACAGACCTCCTTGGTGCTTTGAGTGCACAGACCCCCGTCGTCCTGGAAGCGAGTCTTCCTGTGATAAGTTGGAAGGGTTCCCGTATTTCCATGTCACCCTGGTACAGCTCCACCCAGCCGCAGAAGGTGAGGACACAGACCTCAGTGCACAGCCGACCCTGCCTGCGACTCCAGCACGAGTGCCACCCAGAGTGCAGCCTGGACGGACTGGCTGGGCCACCCTTCTACCCAGGCCCGGCCCCCGGGTGGGTCTGTGACTTCCCTGGACCCCAAGTTCCCCAAAAGCAAGCAGCTGGTATCCCCAGGGCCCTGGAGACATGGCCTGCAGCCTGCTCAGCAAGACTCCACAATTGGAGAACCTGAGCGTCCCCAGGGAGGGAGATGGGGACCCCGGTGTCCCTCCTACCCGGGCCCTGCCCTGCGTGGCATCCCTGTCCTAAGCCTTGTGGCCTGAGCTCGGCCCACTGCCATGGAGGGTCATGGGTGGCCCAGGTGCCACACCCTGGGCTCTGCCAGCTCCTGTTGTCCAAAGGCTCATGGATGAGCACGGCCGTCTCGGGCACCATGTCCCACCTCCTACTGCCTGAACCCACATTTCCCAGGCCACCAGGTCTCTCCTCAGACCCCGGTGTCACCTGACCTGGGGACCGGCACCTGCTCCACACCAAACCAAGCCACTTGCAAAGAGCAGGCTTCGCTGCCTCCCCAAGGTCAAGGCTCCCGACCCGGTGTCCGCGCCCCTCCTGTCCACTCCTCCTCCACAGCACTCTGTGAAGCACCTGGCCCAGTGTCACCCACATTCACTCTGTGTGCCCCCGAGGCTGTGGGAAGGCTCTGGGGGCACTCAGGGCTGGGGTCAGGGTCAGGATTAAGGTCAGGCTGGGGCTGGGGAATGTAGCTCAGTGGCACTGCGCCTGCCTGGCAAGCGCAAGGCTCTGAGTTCAATTCCAGGTACCAAAAAAAAAAAACAAACTGAAGGCCAGGCTTAGTGGCTGGGGCAGGGTTTGGGGCGGGGACAGGGCAGGGTCACCAAGCTTTGGGCAGCTCTGGCTTCCCCACAGCTGCGTAGCGCTCACCCACTCCCCTGGTGCCTGCTGTTCATGCCAACTGCCCTCTCCCCCTGGTTCAGGCCTGCTTTTCCCCGCTCTCCGAAGAGGAGCAGCCACCACCCCTTGTGCCCCCCAGGCCGGTCCAGTACCTGGATCCATACCAAAGAGGCGAGGCGCAGGGGGTCACAAAGGCCCTCGTTCTGAGCTCCAGAAGACAGGGTGGGAGGGGACAGCAGAGAGAGGGCCTCTCCTGCTCCTCGATGGACACTGAAGCCCACTGGGAAAGCGAGGAGAATCCCTGCGGTAAAGGCACCAGACCTCCGTGGTTGGTACGTTGGGGGGACCACAACCTCCCGTCGGAACCTGGACTGTCCTCGGGAAGGGCGGCTGGAACCTGCAGGAGGTCAGGGAGCTCAACCTGGGCCCTACAGCCAGAAATCAGCCTGAATCTCGGGGGTCTGCTGCTGGCTGGCTGAGACTAATGGACTCAGATCTGCACACTGCTGCCCATAGTGTCTGTTGTGACAGCAGAGAGGTACCCTGAAGGAGGCCCTTCATTTTAATTTTAATTGTTTTAAAGTTATTTTTTCACATTTCTCCCCCCTCCCCTCTCCCTCC